TTCAGGAATTTCCCTGATATTTGATAGAGTCACAGGTTTCGAACATTTGTATTGAATGTAAACTTCTAAATGATCTTGTAAATTTTCTCCAACCCCAGGTAAATTTGCAGCACAAGGAATTCCTAACTTTCTCAATTCATCGGCATTACCGATTCCAGATAGCAGTAGAAGTTGTGGTGAATTGATTGAACCACCGCACAAAATTACTTCTTTGCGAGCCCTGGCATATTTCGTCGCATCGTTTTGCTTGTATTCAACACCAACAGCCTTGGAGCCTTCAACGATCACTTTCGTTGCCATCGAATTTGTGGAAATTTTCAAATTTTTATACTTTGATAAAATTGGATGAATGTAAGCCATGGAAGCATTGCATCTTACACCATTTTTTATGGTCATGTCAAAATGTCCAAATCCTTCCTGCATATAGAAAATTATATTATAATATTTTAAATATTTTGTTTAACAGACAAAAACTTTGATGCATTGCTTAAAGGGTTAGGCCTTTCAAGCAGGACGATCTCAAACCAACTCACTGATATATAATAATATTGACGCATATTTAGTTTTATTTACTGGTCTTATATAGCCAAGCTGATTGAGATTGTCGGGTTTGACAGACCTCCCCTTGATTTAAGACCTCTATTTTTCATTATTATTATTTCTAGCTACTTAACAAATTGTGCTGCTCATTAAAGGAACATTAAGTAAAAGATGGTCATTCGTGTTTACTTTGTAAACAAAATTTCTAAGATCTTAAACCGTATTATGTTGAATTTCAAAGCTGAAGAAAAGAAAAATGAAGGCAGAGAGCATTTATATAAACATTATAAACTAGTGCCACTGCGTGGATGCATCGACTTTGAAAATGTTTTTGCATGTTTATTTTTTGCTTGCTATTGTCTAGGAAATAAATAATTAAAAATATTTATTATTTGGCCGCCAGAGTTAAGCTATTAAATTTTCCTCTTCGATGGATGAAACTATTTGTGTTGATACAGTATATAGTTGTTAAATTATTAAAATAAATTTACAAACGTGGTCACCGCACGCTGCCGCACGCACTGCAAAACAGCGCCAGGCAACCTTAACCACTAGACCATCACACCACCCATTCTGTGTAAAGCGAGGACCAAATTATTAATTTTATAGCACGACTAATGTAAAATGTATAAAATACAATACTTAATGTATTATACAAAAAATAAATTGAGGAATGCAAAATGTGAGCAAAATGTGAGCAAAGAATAACTTGTTTAAATCCATTGCAATCTTCTGTATGTTGATACCCAGCTTGCAAGCCGGCATCAACAAAAGCATGGTACAATGGATTGTTCCATTTTCCTCTGGACACGTAGAGCGGTCCACTGTCACCACGGTAATCATCACCTCCTAATTGATGAGTTTGAGCTTTCTTGAAGTAAGGCAAACAGTCGGCGTAGGACCACCCCTTGGCTCCCTCTTGTTCCCAACGATCATAATCGTATGGGTGACCCCGTACGTACACCATGGCGTTCAAAGAAGATGATCCTCCCATTACTTTACCTCGTGGCCAGAAAAACACCCTGTTGTTTGCTCTTGGCTGAGGAGTGGTTTCATAACACCAACTGTACTTTTTATCTTTTAAACAATACATCAGAGCAGCAGGCATTTTAATTTTCCACGTGTCGTCTGAAGGACCAGCTTCCAGAAGAAGAACCTGGTTGGAAGATTTATCGGGGCTGTTGAACGTTGCTAGCCTGTTGGCAATCACGCTGCCTGCAGAACCAGATCCGACTACTATGTAATCATGTTCTGAAATATTTGCTGATTTCCCAATGAACCGCTTAATCATCTGCTGAATGTTACTATTACTTAGATCTATGCATTTTTTTGCCGAGTACATTATGTTTGAGAGAGAAATTGAACTAGAGTCAAGTAAATGTATTCATTTATTTTGTTAGTTGAAAACCAGAATATGAATAATAAAAACCAAACAATTTCAATTATCAGGCTTCTTTACAGTAGGCAACAAACGATTTAATTTTGAATTCGGTATCCAATATCAATTAGATAGACAGAGAATAACAAGTAACGTTAAAATTGTAAACAGAAAAATTGAGTGACAACAACACTACGTAACATTCATTTAATTCCTACTTTTGAATTAATTAACCAACGAGAATGACGACTCGTTGTAACCTTTGGACTAATTGAAACCTTAATCGTGAATGATATTATACTCACAGCCTTTATGTAACTTGCTATAATATATATATATATATATATATATATATATATATTATATAAATAATATATATATATGTATATATATTTATTTTTATTTTATTTAGAAACATTTGTATAGCGCAAATTAATAATTTCAAAAGCGCCATCAAAAATAAAATAACAAATAACTGTGCATGATTGATATAAATCAAAATATTCAAATTCATTGTTTTTCCACAGAAAATAAGTATGTTTTTAATTCCCTTTTAAATGTCACAAAGTTAATTCCAGATCTTCTTAATGAAACTGGTAGGTCATTCCAGACTGTCGGACCTGCGACCGCAATATCTCTCGCACCTATTCGTAGATGCCTAGCTGGGACCGCCAAAAGATTCATATTATCTGATCTTAGATGAAAACAGGTTGTAGATGCCTTCCTGGAAAATTTGTCTGAGATGTAAGCCGGTGACATTCCATTCAAGGATTTAAACACAATCACTGCAATTTTAAAAATTATTCTTTTCTTAATTTGTAACCAGTGAAGCTCGTTCAATATTGGAGTTACATGGTCAAATTTCAATTTGCCAGTTACAAGTTTTGCAGCCCTGTTCTGAACCGACTGAAGCATGTCAATTGATCTATTAGGCAAACCGTAAAACAAACTGTTGCAGTAGTCCAGTCGTGATGTTATGAACGCATGGACCAGATCCTCCAGAGTTGATCTATCCAGCAAATGTCTGACTCGATATAAATTTCTAAGATGAGCAATGGCTGAGACCATATAACATATAATATATATTATATATATATATATAATTCTCTGTCAACTTGAACCGTGGTCCACTGCCGACCATCTCTGAAATAAAATTTTTATAAAAAAAAAACTCAATTATTTTCAAGTTATGAAAATTTTTGTGACACCACCCTCCAATTTTGGAGTGATTTTTTTTCTAAACTTGTACCTATGTAGAACGCCACATCTCTCAGACGAGCCAGTATATCTTAATGAATTTTTTGTATTAAAAAAATTGAAAAACTCATATTGTTTGGCGCCATTTTTAGCCATGAAGAACACAATTTTTTTAATATTTTTGATTGTTTTTGTATAGTGCTTTCATAGCTCAATAACATCTCTCAAAACAAAATGGGTTTCTTATTCTTTAAAAAATGAAAAAATTCAAAATAGACAAAAAGTTTTTTAAGTGTTAATTTTTTCATATTTTTCCATCATAAAATTTTTTTGCAACTTGTCAATATGCATAAAAACAGTTATATAATAATATATTTTATTATTTCTCAATAAGTAACATGATATCACCGTGGAACATTTAAAATACGCCCAAAATGTAACACAACCAATCATGCCGTTTTTAGGCTTGCTGATAATTGTCATTGTTGACAATACTTGAACTTTAATTAAAATTATATCCGGATGAATCGAAATAAAAACGTTTCAATAGATGTATATTTTGGTCCAAGATAAATTAATGGTGATTTGTACGACAATTTATTCATCTATTAATTTAGATTCTTTTCAAGCATCCCCGATTGCTTTTTTTGTCTTTAGCCAAAAAGCTTCAGTATCCATTAATTTCGCATCACCATATTTTCAAAAATCTCGCCCTTGCAACCAATCTTTGTCTCTTTCCCCATCCATTGTAATAACTTTAGCAATGGCCACATTCTCGCCATAAAAAAAATATTCATTTGAAACAACATTTATAACATGTTGTATTGTAAATTCAATTTAATGTTTTGAAAGAAGCTAAAACGATAAAAACGTTGTGATGAAAAGAATCACTGATCATGCATACGCTTCCACAGACAGAATTTTTTGTCTGTATCAACAAAGGATTGGATGAAGAGTAAATTGCGTGGTGCTCCAATATTGACACCAGATTGCATCCTGTATTATCACTGATTAATTTTAAGAATAATCTATAAAAGCGATACATTAAGAGTTTGTAACTTTTCTTTTGAATCGATGAAATATTTCAATGGCTCTTCACTGACTCTTTATATTTTTCTGAAATTCTTTCAATAGAGCTAATAATTCTATTCCTGACAGTTATCAATAGACTGCAATTGTTATCATGGCACCATTTGTGAAAACTGTTTTCACTGTCCAAAGAAATAGTAGTTTATTCAAAAATTGATTTAAAAAATTTTCAACATCCAATTATCTTGGTTATTTATCACATCAGTGTAACTTACATTCGGTTGAATTAATATTGCACACAAATTTTTCTGACCACAGTGATTTTATTCAGTCATTGAAGTAATTTCTGAAATAACATTATAAAATAATATAACTTCTATATTCAAGTTGGAAAAGTTTATTTGGGATTTGCTTTGTTAGTAACTGGAAGGGAAAGCATCAGGTGATGTGCAGGCGGGTGAATAGAGCTGCAAACATTTTCAAAAATACTTGAAAAAAGGTCTATTACAGCGGTTCTCAACCTGTGGTCCGCTGACCGCTAGTGGTCCGGGGGCAGGCATTTGCCTAGCGGTCCGCGATTTTAATACACCTATAGTCAAGTGTGGTAACTGTTGTTTTTTATGTCTAATAGTTATACTAAGAACTATGTTATACTAACTATGTGTAGTTGTTACGTCATCATGTGAAATAATAATTATATTTATATAAATTTCTTGTGTGCCAGTAGCAAAATTTTCAGTAGTGGTCCGCAGCTAAGACACATTTTTTAAGTGGTCCTTAAATCTCAAAAGGTTGAGAACCGCTAATTTATTACACTCTTCCCAGGTTTAGAGAAATCAACACCTCGTGAATATCGTCTATGAACACGACGCCTCACACACGAATGCGGAGATATTTTTGTCATATTCCAAGTCGGTCACTGCATACACCGCGAAATAGCACGAATTTAACCACTAGACAATTTAACCACTGTTCCGCACAAAAAAACTACTGATAAAAAATTATTTTTTTATACTCTTGCATATTAGAGACATCATTTTGATTGTAATGTTTTGAGTTAGCTCAGACTGGTTAGGTAAGAGTATAGTTTCAAATGCTGCCTGTCCAAAAAACAAGTAATATACCAGGCAATGATTAAAGGGTTACATTTGAAGAAATTTTGTGAAACGATCAGAAGTTATATTTCATTCATTAGTATGAAAGGGCGGAGCTTCCAGACTGCAGCCGCGTGAAACTGCATAAAATAGCAGGAACGTGCTGAATCAGTTGCTGTATCTTAATAGAAAGTGTTAAAAGATAAAACATCGTTCAATCATAGATTATGTAAATTTATTTTAAGTACTTATTTCGATAGGGCTACACTTGACACAGTTAACGCTCATCTAAACAAGCTTTGACTTTTATTTAGAGAATTTTTATCATCGTTTTGCTCTATTTTCTAACTTTCCGATACCATTCAACAGACTTTCACATGCAATGTGGCAATCTGCTGAAAGTTATGTTGGTCTCTTTTCGTTTCTTACTCTCTCTTTGTTCAAATGAAGATAAAAATTTAAAATAATATATATTGCTATTTTTGATGACGGTTTCATTTTATTTAATCCTGAAGCAGCTCCGATGTCTGGCGAAATTGTTACATAAATATTAAATGTAGGTTTTATTTTATGTTCCGTATTTATTATTTGTGACGTTTTATGTGACATAACATGATTTTATTTTAATTTGAAATTTTATATTTTCTATAATGCTAATTTATAGTTCACTTCATTTAATTTCATCTTCAGTCTTTAACATGACAACAAAATGCGGCCATATTGAATTATACAGATTGGACTAGCAGAGAACGGCCACGGAGTTAGCTCAGTTGGTAGAAGTGCCAAGTCTCGTGCTGGTATTACGCGATTTCATGGTTCGAATACTCTCTATCCGAAACTTTAATGACCATCACAGGCGTCTGATGCGGTGCATTCGCGTGCGTTTGGTGCGAATAAGTAGAGCCTTTGTGGCACGGAAGTTTAGTTACAATTACAAGTATGCAGTAACATGCAAGCAGCATATACTTAGAACAACTTTACAGGCCCTCGGACGCACCCGCGCACATTTTTAGTGCGCTTTAGAGTCTGGTCTCATTCTTTAGTTTTCGTGAATTTACAATTTTCATATTTTTAGAGTTTATTAACATATAATTAGTTTATTAATAAATATTTGTTTATTTTTTGTCTAATTGATTTATTTCATGTATTTGCCTAATAATTGTGCATATATAATATCTTTTTTCTGGTGTACGTATAAGAGTTGATTTGAGATGGTCGTGTTTGACATGTCTCCTCCTGGCAAGCAGCTCTGCGCTTGCAAAAACGGCATCATAAAAAATTTAAAAAAAAACAGTAGATTAGCTAGAGTGTAAAAGCCTAGGTTCAAAGTTCAGGATGTAAAAAATGGATGTAAAAAATTTTGACCGGTGTAGCCAGTCAAAAAATTACACTCCATTTGATAAACGTTGATATTTATATTTATAATTACATTTTTTTTAGATGTTCCATTTAAAAGGGACAATAAAAGTTTTTTAGTTCAATTTATTTTTAGAATCTTAATTTGATTAATGTTATTTAATTGAGCATTTTATTTTTTTCATTAATTCAATTTCAGTCATTATATCAAAAACATAATGTCATTTTCCCATTTCAGTTATGTTCATGAAAGGTTTCTATAAAAAAAATAAAATAAAATAATTATTTTTACGAAAAAAGTTAATTTAAATTAAAAAACTTTGAATGACTCTTTTAGTAATAAGTGAATAACCGAATGAACAACATACAACCATATACAAAACATGTTTGTAGACATAAATTTGATGAAATTTAAACATAAAAAACATTCAACTTGATAAATTAACTAACAATATATATTTTTTTATTCTTTTATAAAAGAGAATTTGTGAAAATTAAAAATTTTATATTATCTCATAAATTTGAAATTTCTATCTCTGCTTGGTAGGATCATTTGGTTTCCAAACAGGAACATGCAACTTGGGCAGAGGAGGAACTCCCAAAATCATGTCTGCTGCTTTCTCTGCCATCATTATTACCGGAGCGTTCAAGTTACCACTGAGAATGCTTGGCATGATTGAAGCATCGACCACTCTCAGTTTGTCTATTCCTAAAACACGACATTTTGAATCTACAACTGCACTTTTATCGTTTTCAGAGCCCATTTTGGCAGTACCGCAGGGATGATACGCAGTTTCAGAAGTACTCCTTACAAAACTGTCAATCTCATCATCTGTGCTCAATTTTAAATTTTTATCCAGTAAACATTCTCTATAGTCGTCGAACGCTCTTTGGGAGAAAACTTCTGTTGTGAGACGAACGCATGTTCTAAAATCTACAACATCTTTTTCTGTTTGTAAGTAATTTGGATTGATCAAAGGAGGATCAAATGGACTGGTGGATTTAAGCTTTAAATTTCCTCTGCTTGTGACTTTCAAAGTTCCGGTGAAACCTTGATAGGCGTGGCATGTTCCAAATTTCTGCGGGTGATCAACTACTACTGCCGGCAAAAAGTGAATTTGAATGTCGGGGTGGGCAGCCTCTGCGCTACTTCTAATGAATGCACCTGCCTCTAAATAAGTGGTAGAAGCTGCACCAGACTTTGCAATAAACCACTGAAGACCTGCCGTTACCATGTTCCAAGGAAATTTCCACTGATATTTGTATAGAGTCACAGGTTTCGAACATTTGTATTGAATGCATACTTCTAAATGATCTTGTAAATTTTCTCCAACCCCAGGTAAATTTGCAGCACAAGGAATTCCTAACTTTCTCAATTCATCGGCATTACCGATTCCAGATAGCAGTAGAAGTTGTGGTGAATTGATTGAACCACCGCACAAAATTACTTCTTTGCGAGCCCTGGCATATTTCGTCGCATCGTTTTGCTTGTATTCAACACCAACAGCCTTGGAGCCTTCAACGATCACTTTCGTTGCCATCGAATTTGTGGAAATTTTCAAATTTCTTTTTGCTTTGATAGGATCGATATAAGCAGCAGAAGTACTGCATCTCATCCCATTCTTCAGAGTCATGTCAAAATGTCCAAATCCTTCCTGAATGTTAAAAATTTTAATATTTGTCATTTTGATTTATTTTGGTTCAATGTAATAAAACTAAATTACTACAATATATATATATATATAGAATTTATAGAATATTGTAAAAATTATGGTCTATTACCAACATATAATATATATATATATATATATATTAATTTTCTTATTTAAACAGATAAAAAAAAGTTCTTATTTAAACAGATAAAAAAAGCTGAAATAAAACAAAATATTCTTGTACACCTGAGAAGCAACATTACAGCCAATAAGGCTGGTTAGCGGAAAAATTTTTAAGAGTCGTCGTATCATGGAGAGCGTATGAAAAAGTTGAAAAACATTTATTTTAAGGAAAAGTTGACAAGCAGCACATAATTGCAAAAAACTTGTGTTCAAAACATTAAAAACAGTAAAATTGGCATGAATAAGTAGAACCTCAAACTGTTTTTCAGAAATGCTGTGAAACTTAACTCCTTAAATTAAGTTTGAAATTTTGAAAGTGTCGCAGTGGCTGCTGTGGATATGTTTTAAAATATTATATAAAAAATTCTAATTATTTTACATCCACACACACACGTATATATTTAAAAAAAAATTAATCAATAACCGGTTTGATTTTACTAAGAATTAAAAGAAAAGCAAAAATGGAAATACTTGTTTAAATCCATTGCAATCTTCTGTATGTTGGTACCCAGCTTGCAAGCCAGCATCAACAAAAGCTCGAAAAAGTGGATTGTTCCATTTTCCTCTGGACACGTAGAGCGGTCCACTGTCACCACGATAATCATCACCTCCTAATTGATGAGTTTGAGATTTTTTGAAGTAAGGCAAACAGTCGGCGTAGGACCACCCCTTGGCTCCCTCTTGTTCCCAACGATCATAATCGTATGGGTGACCTCTCATATATACCATAGCGTTCAAGGAAGAACAACCTCCCATTACTTTACCTCTGGGCCATGAAAACACTCTGTTGTTTGCATTTGGCTGAGGTGTGGTTTCATAACATACACTATATTTTTCATTTTTTACAATATCCACTAAAGCAGCAGGCATTTTAATTTTCCACGTGTCGTCTGAAGGACCAGCTTCCAGAAGAAGAACCTGGTTGGAAGATTTATCGGGGTTGTTGAACGTTGCTAACCTGTTGGCAATCACGCTGCCAGCAGAACCAGATCCGACTACTATGTAATCATGTTCTGAAATATTTTCTGATTTCCCAATGAACCGCTTAATCATCTGCTGAATGTTTCCACGACTTAGATATATGCATCTTCTTGCGGAAAACATTATATTCAAATTCAGTACCCAAATTATTGGAAAAATTTGTGAACTTTTGAAGCTATTATAAAAAAAACTACAATAATAGAAATATGCTAAAACTGTTGTTACTTTAAAGAATAACCATTGAAAATTACAAAAGCTCTTGGCCTTTGGACGATCAACCTCAATAAATTTAGCGGTATATAGATGCATACACTTTTATATATTATGAATAAATATTCATTTGTAGATGTGTGCAATCATTTTTAAACACAAACACACAAACCTGCTGGAAGATTGAAATGGCATTCAAGCAATTGCACGTTATATGACACACATACCAATTGTTATTTTTCAGTCGCTAATGTCTTGTCAGTATGTTTCCCACTTTGTTTATATCCTGTTTATTAAATTTTAACCTTTTTACCATTCAACATTACAAATATTATTAAAGTTTCAAAATTTATTTCCCACATTAAAATTACAATGCAAGCTAGCCAGACCTCTGACAGCAAACAGCTTCTCGTTCTTACTCATTCACGCAGTTTTCAATTAACATTTGAATTTATTAGCAGTCGTTTTTATAATTGTTTCTCTTTGTTATTTTCAAATTATTTTTGCTCTCAAATGTTTTTTAATCCTGAACAGTTCGCAAGACAGTGTTACATAAACTTGTTCAACAGGTAGGTGGAGGAATGTTTAACATCTAATGTTACATTTTAACATTGCTTTTAACATTTTTGTGTTTACTATTGTTGACATTGTAATTCATCTGATGGTAGTAAATTTTGTTGCTTTCAACACATTTCAAATTGTTTGATCTGAAAGAACACCGCTGGGTTTTAACTTGGATCATTTCAGAGACAACGACACTAAAACTTGATGGAGCACTTAATTTAATGTCTGAATGAAATATGAGACTGCCTGTACTTTGAATGATGAAGTGGTGGTTGTGTGTGTAACTAAATAACTTTCGTGCTGAAGGGGGTAACACTTCAAACACGTACACACGATGTACAATTGCACACCAGCATGCTTGCAGATTGTTATCAAGGCAAGAACACTTTACACTTTGTTCGAGTAAACAATATTTTTTATCAAAACCGCACAAATAAATTTCTCAAAATATAAACGAAGCACTTGAACAATCTAGCAATCAAGCTTGAATGGCCTATCAGACATGAAAACTTTGCAAGCATGTGTTAATGAGGCTGACATGTTGTTTATTTACCTCACCGAAGTAACGATATTACTGTTAAAGATTGGCAGTTTCAAATGATGCCTAAATAAAACATTATTTCAATCAATTTTTCAAATAATCAACACTATTTTTTCAAATTTGAAATAGATTTCAATCTCATAACAGCTGAGATTAGACACTTTTTTATTATTTTATGTAAAATATTCTTACTATGGTTAATATAAGAAAATGTGACGAAATAGAACAAATAAAAGATTTTACACGAAATTCTTTTTTCTGATTTTATTGAACTCAACAGAATTATTTCCGAATAATTATCAACTTGATTGTTGACTCTTAAACAAAAAATTCTAATTCAAATTTATTTATTCAATCAAACAACACATATGGTGGTGATTCGGAAACTCAAGCAGAAGAAAATAACTTCTTGTGTGGCAGGCCACACCTCAATACCTCAATAAATACCGCAGCATTAGGTTTAAATTTTTAACTCACACAATGGCCCAATAACTGAGGTTCCGATACCTCACACCCATCTGATACTAGCCATGAACAAACTTCTGCATTCACGGTGACAGAATAAATGGAATGAAACTAAAACTCAACGTCAAATTTATTTTGATATAGGACAAATAGAAAACAGAATTCGCGACAATCGCTTTACTCTCGGCAGACTAAACAACATTCAGTTGGGTAACACCAGCTTGACGCTCAACTAACTATTTAATGAGCTAAACGGAGCCTCCTATGTTTGAATACTGTAAATAAAATAACATGCTGACTGTTCCATGCAAATTTAAACGTGGAAAACTGAAGATAAAAGAACTACGAATTCTGTAGATAGTAAGATAAAGGAAAATTTTAAAACTCGAGATTATTTAAATCAATTGATAATTTTTCTTATGGAATTAGGCTTTTACGACAGAATCTAATTTCAAGTCAGAAATGATGTTTAGTAGAAAAACTAAAGAAAAAAAAGAAGATAACGAGAAGAAACAAAATAACAAAAAGAATTTTTTGCGAATGGAAGCATAAGAGCACCCTCGGAGGAAATGAAGTGTCGTTAAGCTGGAAAACAACAACACTTAAGTCTGTCATAATTTATACATTTTTATTTATTAAAATATTTTTTGTTGCCCTTTTTAAATTCATTCGATTTCCCAGTCGACCAAGAAGACTAGAGACCACACACACACCTCACACACATGCAACACACACACAACACACACATGCAACACACACACAACACACACATGCAACACACACACAACACACACATGCAACACACACACAATACACACATGCAACATACACACAACACACACACACTCCAACACAGACACCAACGCAGAATTAAGAATTATTAAGCTTCTTAATTTGTGGTGATATTTTAAAATTTCTCTTATAAAGTTTCTTGTCTCAGATGTATTGAAGCTAGCTAATTGTTACTTGTCCTTGCATAAGGTTGAGCATCAACGTGAACATGTTCACCAACGTGAACATGTTCACCAACGTGAACTTGATCACCGACGTGAACATGTTCATCTTTGTTTCTAATTATTAGTCCGTTCAAGCATGTACACATTCATTCATTAAATAATAAATTGTTCGTCAAAATGTTCATTCACATGTATTTTGATGTTATCTATCGTCATCATTTTATTATTAGATTCTTAGCTTTCATCATCAAATTTAAATCATTTCTATGGATGGATGGATGGATGGATGGATGGATGGATGGATGGATGGATGGATGGATGGATTATTTTCTCTGCATTTCCTAAATTTTACTTCATTTTCTAGTTACTAATATCATCATTATCACATTACCATTATTTTGGTTGCCCTATCTTATTCTCCCCACTCCTTCCCTTTCATACAGGAGCCTCCCAAAAACAGGTGAACGTTGTTTGCCTGTTTAACTTAAATACAGCTACTATAGTTCAATTTTTTACAGAAATTTTACTTTATCACCATTATTCTCATCATCAGCGTCATAATCATTTCATTATTTATGATCACTTGGAAAATTTTTCTTTGCGACTCCATGCAGCCTGAACAGAATGGATCGTTGCACTCGTCACACGCTGCTTTCCACGACTCTGTAAATAACCCATTTGTGTCGTCGTTGTTACGATTATAAATGTCTGTTATACCAATTATGAAATGTTAATGAAAAAAAACACAAAGCAATTTTGTTTTGTTTGTGCCTCCTATCTTTAAACACCGACTTTGTTCTATGTTATTGTCTGTTGAGTTTAAAAATCGAGACTGGAAAATTTGTAACCGTTGTTGTGGTCGTTTGAAACAGCATTCTTCAAATAACAACAAGAGACCAAGAGACAATTCTTATTAAGAGATACCAGACCACAATCGTTTATCCCCATCACAACAGCATCAAAAAATATTAAAAATTACAAAAGTTTCTTCACTTATCAGCAAATCTGGTCATAAATTAGAAGACCTTTCCATAGGAAAGAGTTCAACGTTGTCATCATCTTCTTTCCATTCTTCAACCACTTCCCCTATGGCCGCCAACATTGCCAGCATCATTTTCTTACTTTCCCAAATACTTTCCATCACTGTAATCACATCAACAACAACACCAGATTTAGATTTAACACTATCAACAACATCTTTCGATCCGACAACTCCAACAACAACACATTTAGGTGCAACAACTCCAACAACAATATTACCAGATATTTCAACAACAACAAAGTTTTTGGATAATTTGACGACAGTCAAAATGCAACAAGCCATCGATGCAGTAACAAACTTGGCAGATACAACAACGATAACAACATCTGCCGACACATCAAAAACATTAGAACCAGATATGTCTACAACTGCAGAAGTTTTATCAACATTAGTTATCCCAACAACAATGTTAGATAATACATCAACAACAACTACAACAACAACAATTACTACTACTACTACACCTACTACAACTACTACTACTACTACAACTACTACTTCTACCACGACGACAACAACTACTACCGCAACAACTGCTAGCTTGAGATGTTTCAACCCTTACAAAAGTTGTCTGAACCGCACAAGCGACATCTGTGCAGTTGCAGACGACGACAACAACAGTCTCGCTGTGACGTCAGAAAACATTGAGGCTCTGTTTAGCGCAGGTTAGTTAAAAATGCTGGTGCGTCACTCTATTTCCTAAATAACGTTGAACAGGTAGTGCGGCGAGATGGTGCAGTGGTTAAGAGAGCCTGGTCTTACGTCTGCGTTGCGTTAACCGGGTTCGAACGCAAATGAGATTCAAGCCTATCATGCGCACCTTCGTAATGCGTTTATTAACGCGTATTCACGTATGCAGTTTGCGTGTTGTTGACAGTAGCGGATCTAGACAACGTTGACGAGGGGCGAAAATTCAAAGTTTTGGATTTTTGGTAAATTTTACGAGGGGAGGTTAAGAAATTCAGCATATGTATGCTAGTTCAAGCGGCCAAAATTAGACTAAAGACATTTTTTTTATCACGTCAATCCGCCACTGGTTGCTGATACCTTTCTGAGTGATAGAATAAGAAAGATTGGAGTTAATAATGATGTGAAAATTTGAGTGGCTGAGCTGAATGAATAGTTGCCTAGCTTGCTATTAACTTACTGGTTTGTCGATTGCTGGTTTTGAAAATGTTCTGAATGATCTTACGCAAAGGATCAGCCATGGATAAAAATCTTCTGCCGATTATATGCTCCTGGATATGTGGGCTGGATGATTCCTGCGTTGGATTCAATCTCTACACTAGAGGTCTGCTTGGTTGCATTGTTATTGTTGTTGTGCTGTTGCTGGTGTTGTTCATGATGGTTATTGTTACATTAGTAAGTAGTAAACTTATAGAAAGTTGTACGCTGTTGGTGTTTCTCGTTGTTTACAATATTGTTGCCAGTGCAGTTGTTGTTAAAGTAGAGAATGTTCATTCGACAGTAGATTTTTTTGTTATTGCACTGTGGGCTTTCAATTTTTTCTGAATGATTTTTTTGTAATTGAGTTGATGGGTAAATTTGTTTGGGTAAAATGTGGCAATTAGTGTTATTTTCGATGTTCTGACAGGTCTTCCCCTGACTAACAACTTATCAAGTTCATCATCCAATTCATCATCATCCAATTCATCAGCATCATCAACAACAAAATCATTGTTGTCATTGTTATCACCGGTAACAAACATCTTGATTCCTCTTTTGTTTTCTTCAGCATCATCATCAACATCGTCTTCTTCTTCTTCATCATCATTTTCACCTTCATCATCATCAAGTCCCGGATGCCAGTTCATCTTCAATGATGATCCCAATTCTTTTGGTAGACCAGGAAACTGTTCCTACTACAAGGTTGTGATGATAACGTTAATGATGATAATGATGATGATAGCTGCGTTGATGTAGGTGATGATACAAATAATGATGATGATGATGAGGATAGTGACAGTTGTGATGATGATGATGATGATGATGACGACAAAAGAATGATAGTGATAAATTGATAATGATTAAAATCAATAGAAAACCATCAAGTTAATGATTATGATGATTTAATTGTGATAATAAAAGTTGAGAAATAACTTCATCATTATGATCCTTATGACTATTCATGATGAATATGATATTTATAATGATTACGATTTTGATGAGCTGATTTATTGATGGATACATTTCCCAATTAAATTTTGAAGACACTCGCTAACAAATCAGAATGCGCGCCGACTGGTGAGTTCAAATTTAAACTTTCATCATTCTGACAACGTTTATTTTTAAAATTTTTAACTCTAATTTTTGTTCAAAAACCGTTTTGCGTTACGTTGCTGATGTTTGTGGTAACTGTTATTTAAAATGGAATTAGTCTAAATTTTTAAAGATGAGTTAATAATGCGCCAGCTAATACAGAAGATTGAATAACTGCAAATTATAAAAATATAAAATTTTGTTGTTGCCTCTTATCTTATTGAAGACGTGAGCCATTAGAATAGGCTTCCAACCTCACTCAACCAACCAACCAATATCTCCGCAGAGTTCATGCTCGGATTTTCCACATTGGTGCCAATTTTTATCCCAACCTTTCCAGCACCTGTCAAAGTTCTGATGGTGGACACGTGGATACTCATCCATCAGAGGTTGGACAGCACCGTTTGGAGTCCGTTCGGATGGAGCAGTTATCGAAACGGTTTCGGTTCGATTTCCACGGCGTACTACTGGTTCGGATTGGAACCGATCTACCAACTCGTCAGTGCCAAGCAGTACATGTTGAAGATTGAGGTTCAACTCACCAATGGGTTGGTTTCTGTTTTATATTTTTTAATATGAAACAAATTATTACATTTCTTATGAAAATAACTGCGGAAATACCAAAATAACACTATTTATTGCCATTTGTGCAGTTTCATCATCTTTTTCATCATTGGCTTGTAGTACATACAGAAGATCTGCTTTAAGATATTCTTCTCATTATCGAAACATCAGTGATGGTAACAATGGTGGTGATGGATACTTCTGTTAGGATCGGATGACGTCACCCACAAAACCTCATTCTCGCCACCATCCATATTGCACTACGGCTCATTAACTTTGAACTTGTTTTGATCGGCAAAAACGTAGTGCAAACTTTTTTTCAAACGTTTTTGTTACTTCTATCTGATTTTCATACTTTGCACAACTTCTGCAATTCTGACGATCAGTCATTTGACCGTTTGCAGAGGCACCTCAAAAGCACATGTTGATCTACTTGCGGCCCTTCATCAATTCAGTACAATGATTTTTATTTTTTATGCAACTTCAAACAATTTTTTATTGCTTGAAAGTATGAATGTAAACAACACTAAGTAAAAATAAACAAAATTAACGGATAATTATAGGAAATTGCTGAAAGGAAATTTTATTTTCCAACTATATGTAACTGACGCATCTTTCGAATAAAACACTTGAAACCTTCCACAGCCTGTACTTCGTCGATCAGTATTCCACCTTCAATTTGAAGGACGAGGCTGGCAAGTACGCCCTGCACACATCGGGCTGGACCGGGACCAACACCGACATTTTCGATTACTCTCTTTTAGGCTGCCGACCCGACGGTCAGAAGTTCTCGACCTACGATAATGATAATGATGGACTGCTGGTGAACTGCGCCAGTCAGAACGGAGGGGGCTGGTGGTTCTGCCCCATTCAGTGCCAGAGCACCAACCTGCATGGATCGGCTGCCTCTTACGTTTATTTCTCCAAAGTATCGAAGAAGTCAGTAGAGGTCAAGTGGAGTAAGATGTACATCAAGTCTAAGAAGTGATGATGACCATGGTGATTTGGTGGGGATCATAATTATGATGATATTCGGTTAAAGAATTTGTTTGTTGAAATATCTAAAAAGATATTTTTGTTTGTTTGCAATTTTAAAATTAAGATTCCTTAGAACAAGATGTTGGAATGATATGAACCAATTGACATGCAAGTACTTGATTATGTGAATAAAGATTCAGCTTGGTCATTGTTATTTATTGATTCATCAAAATTTTTATAATATTTCACTTATGTGCTGACACTTTAGTTGCACGATTAATGGAAACTATTGATTGACTATTTAATTTTCTATATAATAACTTAAACTTTTACTTATTAATATACGACAGTTGGCATCATTTTCTTTTCAAAAGTGAAGTTGGTGATGAAATAACTTGAATATGTAAAATTTTAATGAAATAGTCATTGGAGTAAATGTCTTGTTACTAATTTTGTTTTGTTTTTAAACTTTTACTTCTAACCTGGAGCATGAATTCGAACATTTTATAACTTTCACGTGTATTTTCATTGTGAATTTTCAGTCATTCCATTGAAGAAATCTTGCTGGAGTACGTTGCTGCACGCAAATTATTTTATTATGTTAACAAATATGAAAAATAATCACTCGTCGAATAAATGTCTTCGGTGTCGTTGAAAAACACGCGCCACGAATATTATGCAGCCATAGAGAGCAATGCGAATAAATACGGTTAAATATCTCGAACAATCGAATAGTTACGGTGCAAACTGATGAAAATTGGAAATGTCTCGAAAGAAGTATTTGTCAGATAAATATTTAAAAGGTCGCTAATAAACGTTCAACTTGAAATAAAGTTCAAGTTTGATGGAGTATGAAGGATCTTCATTCCGACCAAACAATATCCTCCATTCCTATCATCATCTTCACCAAATTTTATCACCAAATTCATTTGCTCAACATTTTGTCAGACGTATTAACATAATTATCATTATTATTGTCACCATCATAATTTCCATCCTCATAACCATGGTCATCTTCATCATCCTCATCATTACCGTCACCATCTTCATCAGATCTGAAATAAGCCTGGTTTGTTGAAAGCCTCATAGGCAGACGACTCATGAAGGCCTGCCTCCACTTCAGAGCCACCCCGACCCCCCCTGCTCGTGTATGGGTGGCCAGATGGGGGCGAGAACTCGTCACCACTATTATCAGCGGCGTAGTTATCATTATCGTCGTCGTCGTTGAAGAAGATGAACTTATTTTTGTTGCTGTTGACGATGACGTCATCGCCATTATCACCATCGTTTCCCTTGCAAGCTTGCTTGAGAATATCGTCGATATCATTATCAGGATCATCGACAAAATTGGAAAATCCCAACTCATCTTTGTACCCGTGGCCTGTAATGGTTTCATTTTCGATTTCTTCATCTTTATGGCCTGGTGGGAAGATTTGTAAGAATTTAAAAAGTTTGAAAAATGCGACAAATGTGAGTGCGTGAAAGATCGAAAATAATTATTTACAATTAGAATCATTAAGATTATATTTCAGTATTTTGGTTTTCTACTTGAAAGTTTATTAAATGAAAAAAACAAATGTAAATAAAATTATTGTTACTTGAAAATCAATTTAGAAAGTTTACATGCATTTCATTAAAATTTGTATTTTTAAAAGCATAAATTTAATTGTTCATTTAATTCCTACAAAATTAAAAGAGTATTGACGACACTTGATAACAAAACCAAAAAGACGGAGCATGAACGTGAACGTGATGATGAACACAACGTGAACAGGAACATGAACATGAGTATGAATTAACTTCTTTTATCTGTTTTCTTCTGTTCAGTCTTCTGAAATCCATTTCTTTCTTTTGAAGTTCTAGTCTCATTCTTCAGAGCATTCACAGTGCTTATCTTACTAGTGGCATTTTTGAAGCGACTCATTTTCCACTCGGAGCCCGAGTCGTCGCCACTCCTGCTACCGACGCTGAAATCCAGATTTTTAGAAATGGCGATGGAACGCAGTTGAGAGGTTTTGTTGGACTTCTGGTTCGCCTTCTTCCTCAGAAGTGATGCCATCTCGGCATCGGTTTGTTTTTTCAGAGCCGCTTTTTCTGATTCGATGCGTTCTCGTTCCTGCTTGCTTTCTCTGTGGAAGCGATGTGAGATGAGGTCCTCCATTCGGGGGTCCTGCGTCGTTTTCAAGGTTGGTTTCGTTTTCAATCGGGATCTGTTGATGCTGCCGTTGCGAGTTTTAGTGGCTGGCTTAGTGGATAGCTTTAATTTATTATTGCTGTTCGTTTTGCTGTCATCGGTGTTGTTATCGTTACTATAGTAGATAATTTTTTCATCGTCGTCGTCATCGAGGAATAAATTTTCCATTTTTGAGGAGATAAGCGAGCAGTCGTTGTCGTCATCGTTTTTGAGGCTTTTGTGGCCGCTGCCAACATCGGCGTTTTCAAAAACAATACGATCGCATTTTTTTCCATTGGCTGTTGTAGTTTTAGGTGTCTTGTTTGTTGATGTTGGCCAATTCAAACAGTCGCCAACTGTGCAGTTTTCTTTTTTTGAATCATTTTGCACGCAGTTCATGCTGATGCTTTGGCTTATGTTGACTTTGTTGGCATTGTTGTTGTTGTTATTGATGTTGTTGTTGTTGTTGTTTTTAAGGTTGTTGTTGTTGCTGGTGGTTTTGATGTTGTTGATGTTTTTGTTGCCGGCAACTTTGCCGTTACTGAAGTTGTTTGATGACGTTGTTTTCTTGGACTTCACATCGTTGGAAGATGTGCTGGCCAGTTTGGCTCTGTTGTTGGAGGTGCTTTTCGACATTTTATTTCATAAAAAAGGCAACATTCAACACAATTTTTATACAATTTTTCAATCATTCGAATCAGAAAATGATCTCGTCCAGCTTTCGATATTTTATAGGCACATTTTCAGATACATACATATGCATGAGACAAATCAACATTAAATACACCAGCATAAGCGCGCAAACACGCACATAAACCATGTATATAAATAAATAAATATATATATATATATATATATATATATATATATATAGATAGATTGTATAAAATGTATATATATATATACATATATATATTTTATGTATATATATAAACATATATATATACATACATATATATATATATATACATATATCATATACATGTATCATGAAACGTTTAACGCGGTGCACCATGGTAACGGGAATAATTGATGTAAACAAGAGACATCTGACGTTGATAGCTAGGCTACGGATGAATAAATAAATAAACGCCGTCATCGTCAGCAGCAGCCTCATCAGCCTCATCAGCAGCAGCCTCATCAGCCTCATCAGCAGCAGCCTCATCAGCCTCATCAACATCATTGCATTGTAACTTACTTGTTACCGTCGCATCATTATCAAACTACTTCTATTGTCATCAACGTAGATGAGGCAGTCACGTCTTCTTCACCGTCACCATTGTCATCGTCATCATCATCATCGTCGTCGTCATCATCGTCATCCTTCACAACGCTTCGATGTAACTTTCAGTTGTAGGATTATCTTCCACTTAATTTGTCACCCATCTCAACGCACTGTCAGTAATTGCAAACATTCATCCTCATGTTCCATGGGTTTCTTTGGTTCGTAGTGATTGTCAGCAAGCGTTTTATAAATAGAGGTGGTGGTGGTGATGATGATGATGATGAAGAATGATGGTTGTGGTGATTGAAATGAAAGATGATGACGATTGTGATGGAGAAGAGAGGAAATGCTTACGACCATGCTAATGAAATATGAAAATGATGGTGATGGTGGTGACGAAGATAATGGAAATGAACATATGACGATGAAGTATGTGGTGTCGAATGTTTCGAGTAACCAGTGATGATAGGAGGAGGAGGAGGAGGAGGAAGAAGAAGAGAGGAAGACGACGACAATGAAGATGGCAACCAGCAAACACACAACATCAAAAAATTAATGTTTCTAAAGAACATCAATAAATGCATTTAGTTAATCGTTGGTGTGGCTCTGTGCACTTTTGTTGAATTTTTGCAACCAATAATGGAAAATACAATCGAAAAAATGGTTGCGTGTGTGTGTGTGTGTAAATGTGTGTGTGGATGTGTTTGTGTGTGTGTAAATGTGTGTGTGTGGATGTGTGTGTGTGAATATATTGAAAATTGAAAAATATAATCAAAGTCATGCCCTCAAATTCAAACGTACGCAGGGGACACCTTCAAGCACTTCATCTCTCAAAACGGATGGCGACAAGCACGCAAACAGCACGGAAGCATCAAACAAACAAACGAACGAACGAACAAATGAACAAAAAACGAACAAACAAATACACTTTCAAATATTGACTACAACATTTTTATGAACATTATTTTTGTCATTCACCATTGTTCAACATTTCATTGTGATACGCCAGCCAGCAAAATTAATTAATTGCCTTATCAAAACAAAATTACAAACAAACGAACGAACGAATGAACGAACGAACGAACGAACGAACAAGCGCCTCTGAGGTTCTTTATAAGAGGCGCAGTACAAATCGTCAAATACAGTACCATAACAAACAGTGATGTGCTTAAATGTGCTCGTATGTTTGTGCATCATCACCAGAGAGTCTTAACATAAAACATGTCGAGGGCATTGAAGGACACAAACTCAGAGACGTACATGCACACAAGATACCAAAATACAAGCATACGAACACATGCACATACAAGCACACAATCATAATAGCAGTGGCCTACCAAAGAAAAGATGCAGTCTCAAGTACAGGAATGTATGGAGCGCCAAAGTTGATATCAACTAACATTAAATATCATTTACTTACTATTTCTGATAAGCTTGAACTCACCATTCAACCATTGATGCAGTCGATTTTAATTAAAAGCTATTCATTATTGCTTCATTCCGTTGTTTAATGAATTTGTAAAACTACCACTGGAATTAATCATTCCTAACTGGCATCGAGTTAAACTTCATTGACAACGACATATTTTAAAGTTTCTTTGCATGTCATTCTGACACTCTCTGCGCCAGTTGCGAGCTGTGAATGTTCAAATAACAAAATAAAGCACATTTCAACCTATTTGAGACCTTCAATAAGAACTTTCTTGATTTGGCACTGCAAAGTGAAAAGGAGGTGCCAGTTGGAAAAATTCACTTTGACAATTTTTTTCATATTTCACATTACCGAAAGTACCGACCTCTGCAATAAAATGCATCTGTCGTTAACTTTGTTTACATTTTAAAAAAGTGTATGTAACGTTATTTTCCACGACCGTTCTGATTCAAACATTATTGGTAGAGGGGTTGCAGGTAGGCCTGGCTGCCCCTGGTGCCTCCCACGCACGGTACGCTGCTGAAACCATTCAAATACTGGAGGTACAACGCAAACACTACACATACAAACACAAACATGCATCAAGCCAACATACAGTCGCATGCAATAGCATTGAGGAATATTTGTATTGTTTGGTAAGCGGCATATTCATCAATTGACGGTTGCCAAGGTAAACAACAAGTTTTCATTATGAATATCTTTCAAATATTTGAAAAATTTACATTTAAATTCACTGTTTGTCTTATAGTGTGCGTGTATCTGCGCGTGTGTATATATTTATGTACGTATGAACGTGTGGTGCATGTTTTCACGATGTGCATTCATACAGTCTATGTATTACGATGCATTAAATGTGTGCGAAAATATGTGAATGGGTGTTATGCATTAAACAGTTAACAATATTATACCGTTATTAAATGTTACAATCATTTTATTCTTCACTTATTGTTGAAAAATGTATAGCCATTAAATGGTTAAAAATGTAAAACCCGAGCTGTTGCGTGAGTTTCAATGTATGATAAGACTTCTCTTCGATATTGGAAACTTAAGTCTGAGGTGGACATTTTTATTATTGTAAGTACCTATTTAGGTAGTCGTACCTGGATAGGCTTCAACTCCAACCATCCGTTAACATTGTTGACAGTAGCGTATAAATCTGCAACCATCCAGATATTTTTATTTTCTTTTCATAAAGACAAACAAAACAAAAAAAGACACTTACGAAATCTGTGACAGCAAAAAGAACTGTGGCAGAATTAGGAGATTGAGTCAAAAAAAAATCAGAGCCAAAAAGATGATAAAATATCATTACAGCATTATTAGAAATGCGGTTATAAAATGGAAACATCATTGAGACGACACACGAAGGCGATAAAGATAATGGATTGAATATCTAAAAAATCAAAATGGAAGTGAAGACTTCAGCATGAAGTGAAGGCAATGCAATGATTAACTAAATAAAATCTGAAAATCTAGAACAAATCGACCAGTCTGTGAACTTAGGCAATGTTATAACAAGCAAAAGCAATTGCTCAAAAGAAATTAACAAAACAGTCATTACACGAGAAATGTTTCCACCATTGACAGAAATTTGGAAAAATGGTAATATCTATCCGATTTGAAAGTAACAAAAATCTACGAGTTCACTACGCTGTTGGATGCATGCAAAGATTGAACATTTAAAAAATGGCAGATAAGAAGCGTTATAAATGCAGTGCTACAAAAAAAGTTGAGAATCAGCCGGAAATAGAAAATGGAAAATGAAATCATAAAAAAGCCCGAAAAATAAAAAAAAGTGTTTATTAAAATTTCCAGATACAAAAATTGGGACTTTTTGGGCAAGGACACATTCGCAAAATTTGGGACAATGGAATAAATTTGTACAGATGAGATGAAGAAATTGGAAGAGAAAAGTTTGAAAACCTGCCAAAAAATGGATGGCTGACATTGCAAAATGGACTGGGGTGGAAACAACGAACTCAATAAAAACAGACAACGAATCTTAGATATAACAAAAAAAAGGTGGACGCTATCGGCCTCAACAATCACATCAGGGATTTGAGAGGGTCATTTTTAGAGAAGATTTTCATTGTTTAATGTTTCAATTTTCCTAATTTGAATAATTTTTTGTTATTTAGTTGTTTACATGCTTTCACGAGCAATTACGCTTCTGCTGAATAAACATTGCATTCATATATGGAACTGAATTATTGATCGTTGATTGATTGATTTAATAATGACGATATTATGACGACGGTAATAATCATCGCCATCACTTCAATTACCGACAGACAAACAAAACAGATATTAAAAATTTTTGTTTGAATCCAAGATTGTATGGATGAAATCAGAAACAATATTTAATAAGTGTAAATAAAATTATAGAAAAATAAAATATTTAATACTAAAATACCAAGCATTTTAGTAAAACTGAAAGGTAGTTTGTAGGTATATAGATAGAAAGAAAGATGCATGGATAAATAAAGTAAGATAGATCGAAGTAAAGGACAAATAAAATCCATGTGCACAGGACAGAGAACAAAAATATATATAAACATTAAGAAGCATCAAAATCTACTTTGAGCATATAACGATAATTAATGAAATGAAACTAGCCAGAACTCCTTATAACAAACTTCTATACAACGAACATTTCTATATAACGAAACTTTTTATGTTCCTTGGAATTTTTCACATAAAACTGTTTCTAAAGGACGAACGTAAGCGCGTTACATCTACGATTGATTGATTGATCGATCGATTGATTGATTGATTTGATCGATTTATTGATTGATTATTTGAATGAGGAACGCTTACAAACTCATAATATTGAAGTTCGATATTTCAGAATATTATTAAATATTAATATATACACAGATGTTTAATATAAGAAGAAATAACTGAAAAAACTAACAAGAAAAACAGTTGAAAAGCAAGTGCCCGCACGCGCAAATACAAGATGTTAAAATTTATTAAATGTATGAACCATTACATGTTTTAAGTTCCCCAGTAAGGTATATAAATCTGAATAAAAACAAAAAAAAACAAATTTGAAAAGTCAAAACATTGAATACATGAAATTTAGTTAACGATATGCATTTATTGTTATAATATTAAAAATATATTTACGTACGAACCTCGATCTAATTTATTTTTTATGTGATCATCGGATATTTCAGCTAAACTCAAACGATCGTCCTCATGTTCTCACATTTTCTTAAATCCAACTGAAAGGAAGAAGTAACTGCAACGCAGTACAAAATGACCAACCATTCAGTAAAACGTTAAGTCGTTCGAGCCTCAAACATTAAGCTGTGCTACATCAAATCATCATTCAATCAATCAATCAATCTTCGTTTTGCGTCCGGAGACCCGGTTCCCCGAGGTAGGACGTTAATATGTAATAATAGGTATATAAGAAAGTTTTGTGCGCGAATCAAGTTATCAGCGGTTGTCCGTTTGTTGCTGTCGATCTAGTGGCAATATAATAGCCTAACATTGAAAAATTGCATGCTAATATATATATATATATATATATATATATATATAAATTTATATATTTATATATTTAATATGTATACATATACAATTATACATGTATGTATGTATGTATATATATATATATATATAATAAACGTGCTATCAATAAAAGCAATGAAAAAATAACATTGATTAATATAGGACAACATACCATTGATGAAATAATTGGTGAATAACGCATTAACATAACATAGATATAGCACAACAGCAAACAAATAGGTCCGAAACAAAACGAACATAACAAAGAATAATATGAGCAGAGAAGATTCACTCAAACCAACGAAACATCAGCAGCCAATGAGGCGTGTGCGTGTAAAGAGCAACAATGTTAATTGATTGACGAGTTATTTTCATCGTAAGCTTGTAGTTATCATTCTTGTTGTTGAAATTGATGATGTCGTTGTTATTAACATTGCTGTTGTTGTTGTAATGACTATTGTCATTTTTGTAGTTATTATTATTGTTATTATCATTGTTATCTTTGTCGTCAAAGTCTTTTTTGTTGAAATTTTGTTGCTCTTGATGTTATTGTGACACTTGTTAGCGATGATGTCATTGTTGATGTTTCACTGCAGTTCTTGCCAATGTTGCCGTTGTTGATGTTGTTGTAATTAATGTTGTTGTTGTTGATGTTGTTGTAATTAATTAATGTTGTTGTTGTTGATGTTGTTGTAATTAATGTTGTTGTAATAAATTAATGTTGTTGTTGATGTTGTTGTAAGTGGCTGCAGGTCACAATTATGATACTTCACTGTTGTTGATGGAAAGCAGTTGAGCTTCTTCGATGCTGACGTCATCTCGGACGAGTTTGTTGTTGCTGCTCGTACGGAATGGGCGGTGGAATGTTTTCATCTGCTGTTGAGTAACAAAAATGTGTTGCTGCTGTTGTTGTGGTGTAGAGAATCAACAAAAAAAATCACAAAATCATGTAAATATACGGCGACAAGGTGGCATGGTGGTATGGCGTCTGTCTCTTGCAATGCAGTAACCGGCTTCAAATGCAAGGATATCCCCAGCCGACAACGGCAACTAACAACACTTACTAGCAGAGCAGCAATGAAGCATCCAATGAATGCCCCAGCGAGGACATCGGTAGGATGGTGTTTGTTGTCACTGACCCTCGACAGGCAGACATAGTAGGCCCCGTAGATGAGGGCAGCCTGGCACAAGTGCTTCAGGAGGGCTGCACCCCGCCATGTGAATCGAGCCTGCAAGTAAATCTGCAGAGGTGGTAAGAATGATGATGATGATGGGTGGTGGTGACGATGAGGAAGATTGTTGTGAAGATGGTGGTAGGATTATGATGGTGCTGGTGGTTATTAAGAAAGTAACGGTGAATAAAATTATGGTGCTGTTGAGTGAGTGAGGTATAAGAACTAGGGATGCACCGGATTTAGGTTTTTCAAATCCGGCCGAGGCCGGACTTGGCCGGATTTAAAATTCAAAAACCGGCCGGGGCCGGATTTTAGTTAATATTTTACATACGTTAGAAAAAATACTCACATTTACGGTTATCTACATGTTAACACCAAAAAATAACACAAAGCATAAAGTATTGATTGTTTTTTATTGAAAAAATTCCAGTGTACAAAAAAAGTTTATTATTTCACATGTAAATAGTTAAATAAGAGAAGCATTGTATTTTAAGAATATCAGCTTCTCAGCGTTGTCAGGGAGTCTCAGTCTTGTGCGATGCTCAGTGATGATGTCTCCAGCCGTGCTAAACAATCTTTCGGATGGTACACTTGTTGGTGGAGGTGCTAGGTAAACTTGTGCAACCTTTGATATGGTTGGATACTTAGTAGTGTTAAACTTCTATCATGTAGCTGGGTCTTCCTGTCGCTGTAACAATGGTTCTTTTGGGGTTATCAGGCTTACCCCGCGACAATACTGCATTGCATTCCTTAAAAACTGCCTTGGATTTATCGTTTGTTTTAACGTCAAAAAACGCCCATACTCCGGATTTCTTTTCAGCCATTTTTATAAAATTCACCAATAATAAAAAATGCTTAATAAATATATTGTTCTTAAATTATGCGCTTTATAGCTGCATCATCGTCATATACTATTATTGTATATATACAATTAGTGATGTTGTTGTCATATACAATTAGTGATGTTGTTATTATGTGTCATGTATGCTTAGCCTTTAACTTATTGACATAAAATTAATCGAATTCAATAAAATTTTTTTTTTCAATTTATAAAATTTTTAAATGTTGATAGACACTTAAATCCGGCCCTAAATCCGGCCGGGGCCGGATTTGAAAAAAAGGCCGGATTTTGGCCGGGGCCGATCTTCGGTGCATCCCTAATAAGAACTGAATGAATTTGTTACATGGCGGGGTAGATAGAGGTGCTGTCACTGAGAGAAACAACATCAATATTAAAATAATAAAATAAAAACAACTTTGCGAAAAAAGTAATGACACAAATAAATCTTTCAAAGTTCATAGAACATCCATCACAAGCTGATAAACTTGGTGCGACTAACAGCCAGATAGACGGCTACGAAGGTCGAGAATGATGAGTGACCTGATGGGAAGGAGAGCCTGTAGGTGGGTGGTCAGTTCAGTGGAACGTATAAAATAGCTCAATCAACTCGGTGTGATCAAGTTTAATTAATTCCATAAACAGTTTCATAGTTCATAGTATCATAGCTTACTTATGTGAAAATGTCTGCTTATGAAAGGCAACAACACTTTGATTTTGTAAGTTTTTGTTCCTGTTGACTTTTTTATTATTTCATCTCAAAAGTTTTTTTTTTGATAGAAACTACTGTTCTGTAGTTATTATGACGCTGAAACTCTAAAATTTTTACTTAAATAATCAAATTTTTCATTTTTTTGTGCTTTTCTTTATAATTGTCAATCCAAAGTTTAATCGCTTTCATTTTATAAAAAAAAACATTAATGCAAACGAAAAAATACCACACTGCCACAAAAAGTAGGAGAGATGATTTCATAGGAGCACACTGGAGCAAAAATATCGCGGTCATTAAATCACGTGACTCATTTGTACGTGTCATATCGTGAGGTCGTCAAAAAGTGTGTCGCATCAAGCAAATATACATGTGAATATGTTGTGTGTGTGTGTGTGTGTGTGTGTGTGTGTGTGTGTGTGTGTGTGTGTGTGTGTGTGTGTGTGTGTGTGTGTGTTGAAACTTGCCTTTACAAATAATGATAAACTTGAATAGTATGATTGCTTCATTGCTTATTTACGTGAGAATGTCGGCCAAAAAACACCACTCTGTCTTCTGTGAGTTGTTTAATGATTACTATGATGAAACTTTCCTTTATAAACTATGAAAAACTCAACAATATGAAGAGTAAAATGTGGAAAAATTGAAATAAAAATTGAATAAATTAATATTTCCTCCCTATCCCGAGAAGATATCAATCACCTGGAATCAACGGCATTCCTGCTTTTTTCATCGACGCACGTGTAACTCTCAACATAAACGTAGATGTCGCTGATCAGTCCTGGTACTGTGCAGTTCAGTTGGGAGTAATCTGGATTGCATAGGGAGAGGAAGTGAGGTCGGAGTCTGTGTGCACGGATGGATGAATGGATGGATAGATGGATGGATGAATGGATGGATGGATGGATATATGGAAAGATGGAAGGATGTTGTAAAAGATGAATAGATGAGTAGCTAGTTGAATGGATAGATGGATGGATGGATGAATGGATAGATAGATGGATGGATGAATGAATGGATAGATGGATGTATGGTTAAATGGAGAGATAGACAGATGGATGGATGGATAGATGCGGGAATTTCATCTGAAAACCTTAAAACTTTAATCATTCAAAAATTAAACTAAATTCGTAATCAAATAAAAATGAAAGCTTGTTGGAATAAAATTTGAACCGATCATTAATCATGCGTAACAGAAACACGTGCGACCTTCCAATGGAGTACTTGCCAATGACCGTGACAGTCATTTGAATGATGATGCCAAACATATACATGCCGAAATAACGGTACACGCACATCAGAAAATATGGGAGGTGCTGGTTAGCAGGGATGTGCTGTCGGAGTTCTTGCTTCTCTTTTTTGTGGTAATATATTAATAACTCGCAGAGAAAAATCTGTAAATGTGGAGGAAGTTATTGAAATGTTATTTATGTAGTTTAAAATATATAAATTAATTAAACTCGTTACTTTAGTTAAATTTGAATTGAATTTACAAAACCGATGTGTGTAAATTGAAAATGATTTATTTTCACTAATCGGTTTTTACCTCACTTATACAGCTGCACTAGTATACTATAGCAGATAACATTTTATTTAAAAATAAGATGAACAGGTTGATTGAATTAAATAAAACAAAATAACATATTCCATGCAATAAAGTGTCAGTACCTTATCATTGTGTATATTAACACAAGAATTATTAACTTACAATAAAATTTTCTCAAAGTCATATTAATAATGTCATCTTGAATCTTAAAAACATTTAACGTTGATTTCAAACCAATGCTTATCTTCTTCAATTAAGTCAAACTTTCTGACCATAACAAACCCTAGACTGATTGCCAGGACGATCATCATGGTCCCGTCAACTGTGCTGTCCTTGTATGGATGCTTCAGTGACTCGTCGTTGCAGAAGAACCCTCTTCTGAATGGTTTGTTCAGTGCATACAACGCTAGGCATGGAGAGAATGCTATGTGGTTGGTGTTCAGTACATACATTTTTTGTGTTTAATCAAATAAGGGTAGCAGTTTAATTCATTCATATCAATTGGAAATTGTCATTTTATTATTTATATTAAATATTAAAACATTATTGATAGCTAATATTAAATTTTAAATAAAAAAATAATTTAATCTTTATGATAATAATAATGATTAATCAATTAATGTTCACCATTGTCCAACTTTAAAAAGCTAATTACCAACATGATTCTGAACTTAGCCACCAGCCACAATGACCGACCCATATATTATGTGCGCGGAGAGATCGTGAAAAAAGAGAGGACCATCTGCTGAATGCACAGCAGATGTTCATATATGTTACCAATAATTGTATAGCTATATAAATCCTTAACTGATCATTGAAATGTATGAAAAGTATGTATTCTATATATTTAAGTAACGCATGTATGAACAATGATTGTATGATGTATTGACAACATAAAAAAATTGACAGTAAGTTGAACATAAAAATCGATTAAAAATATTATTAGTTGCGGCCTCAAAAAAAGATTTCTACCACTTATGTAGAATTAAATTACCTTTCTAAAAATATATCAGCCACTAAAAAAAACAGCCTTCCAGGGTGTTCAAAACCCGAAAAACAAACACACTTCATTGTGCATCAAATCACAAAAATATTTTTTTTCACCATTCATAATTGCGGCCTCAAAAAAAGATTTCTACCACTGATGTAGAATTAAATTACCTTTCTAACAATATATCAGCCACGAAAAAAAACAGCCTTCCAGGGTGTTCAAAACACGAAAAACTAAAACATTTACATTGCGCATCAAATCACAAAAATATTTTTTTTCACCATTCATAATTGCGGCCTCAAAAAAAGATTTCTACTACTTATGTAGAATTAAATGACCTTTCTAACAATATATCAGCCACTGAAAAAACAGCCTTCCAGGGTGTTCAAAACTCGAAAAACAAACACACTTCATTGTGCATCAAATCACAAAAATATTTTTTTTCACCATTCATAATTGCGGCCTCAAAAAAAGATTTCTACCACTTATGTAGAATTAAATTACCTTTCTAACAATATATCAGCCACTGAAAAAACAGCCTTCCAGGGTGTTCAAAACACGAAAAACAAACACACTTCATTGTGCATCAAATCACAAAAATATTTTTTTTTAACCATTCATAATTGCGGCCTCAAAAAAAGATTTCTACCACTTATGTAGAATTAAATTACCTTTATAACAATATATCAGCCACTAAAAAAACAGCCTTCCAGGGTGTTCAAAACTCGAAAAACTAAAACATTTACATTGTGCGTCGTATCCCAGCGACTGAAACAGAAAGATATCGCTGGTCAAAATTAAATTTTACTCGCAGACATGGTGGTCGGTACTATTGGTCTGCCATCATCGCTTTTATTTCATTATAAAAATCATTATAACACCTCAACCCTAGATAAGCATTTATTGCTAGGCTGACTCTTTCACTTTATTTTATTGGGAATAAATGGATCAAAAAAAAATTGAATTACACGTTCTGCTAGCCTGTGTATGCGTGGGTGTGTTTGTTTATGTATTATGTTTGTGTTTGTATGTGTTTGTGTGTGTATTGTATGTGTCAATAATTAACAAAATAACCCAATGATATCTTTAACAATTAATTCAATGATAAATTTAATTGACTTCAAATTCAACAATGTTCGTTTATGTCTATGTGCGTTTTATTCAATGGGCTTTTTTGGTTATGCTAATTTTTCAGTTGAGTAGCATCGATGTTTGTTTTTTAGTATTGAATTTTAAGCGGTGTGCGCTCGTGTATGTGTGCCCTTTTTATTGCAGCCAATCGCACAACGTAGTTCATCATAAGGTTAGATGAGAGCGGTGCCATTGGTTCTGCATGCATTATGCCCGAACCAATGATTACAGTTTATAATTTTCCCATTCATACCAATATATGTTTATATATGTGTGTGCGTGTGTGAGTATGTATGTACGTACGTACATATGTTTGTAAATAAATAAATTTGCAAATCAAATCACCCAGCCCGTCTGATTCTTTGGTCAATTGTAAAATTTTAACAAACATAAAGTACTATTTTCACGTAGGAAAAGGAATACGACAATTGAGAGGTTTAGAAAGAAATCACAGATAAATAAAACTGGCTAATAAGCTACCGTCATTTGTCCGAATAGACTGTATTAATGCCTCCGATGATAATACAGGCATCAAGGTAACATGATGCAAATTCACTCAAATGACGTTTTAGCTAATGCTAGATCTGAGTCATTGAGTGTTGACGATGAGGATAAAAATAACGTTTTTGATGTAATTATAAAGCTAAGAAAAGAACTACTTGCTTCAGATAGTGATAGATTTATACAACATGTTAGTGAGCCGTTATGCATCGTTTCATATTCATACAAACAGGTTGAAGTTGCTAAACGAAACAAAAAAAAAGAACATACTGCCAGTGTTGTATTTTGATTCGACAGGATCGGTGATTAGAAGGACCAGCTCAAAGCAGAAGAGAATTTTTTATTACTCTGGTGTTATTTCAGTAGATAATAGAATAATTCCAATGATCGACTTTGTAACATGTAGGCACGACGTGGATCACATTAGTCAAGTACTTATTGACTATAAGCACTACGCTCAAAAAAAGTGAAAGAATGGCCTTTGTATTCAAATGTTGTAACCGATTTTTCTATGGCACTTATTGAGGCTGTTTTGAAAGGATTTAACACGATGGAAATATGCAATGAAATGGGCAACCAGTGACGTCTTTCCTATTAAAATTGTACAAGTGACATTGTGTTGTTGTCATTTTATTAAAATAGTAACCAGAGAGACGCTTAAACACACTAAATTTAAACCGGATTTTAGTTACCATTTTACATACGTTAAAAAAATACTCACATTTACGGTTATCTACATGTTGAACATAAAAAAATAACACCAAGCAAATAGTTAATTAATTCAAATATATAAATAAGTTGTGTGATATGCCAAATTGTGTACACAAAGATCAGCTTATAATTTATGCATAACCCGTGTTATAGCATAAAGAAAATTGACCAGCTCACCTCACAATTAGTGATGTTGTTATTATGTGCCATGCATGTACGTGCACACTTGCACAGCTTATAATTTTTGCAAAACCCATGTTATAGCACAAAGAAAATTGTCCAGCTCACCTCACAATTAGTGATGTTGTAATTATGTGTCATGTATGCCTAGCCTAACCTTTAACATACCATGTTCTTAAATTATGCGCTTATGTCTATATATATATATATATAATATGTAGCTATATGATCCATTATATACAATTATATAGTATATACACGTGCACAAGTTCTTTTACACAAAGATCAGCTCATAATTTATGCATAACCCATGTTATTGCATAAAGAAAATTGTCCAGCTCACCTCACAATTAGTGATGTTGTTATTATGTGTCATATATGCTTAGCCTTTAACTTATTGACATAAAATTAATTGAATTCAATAAAAAATTTTTCTATTTATAACATTTTTAAATGTTGATAGACGCTTATATTCGGCCACCAAATCCGGCCGGGGCCGGATTTAAAAAAAAGCCGGATTTTAGCCGGGGCCGAACTTCGGTGCATCCCTAATTTTAAGTATATGTAGTTGATATAAATTTTTCAAATTATTTATTTATTGCTAATGATTAACAAATAGAATTGAGTTTCTATAACTGTTAACTATCGTTATTGATTTAAAAAAATGCATTGTGTGTTCATTGTGTATGTTTTTCTACAAATACAGCAAAAAAATAATAATTATTATCTAATATTTACACCACACAAAATTTAATTTACTAATAAATAATAGAAATTAATAGGATTATCAAATACACACAACTACAGTATTATATATTTTTATAGCATCGATATATAACTATATAATTATATATACATGTATATGTACATACCTGTTAGCTGCCACTTAAACAGCATATAACAAATAACATAATATAGCATATAAGCTTATAATAACATGCATACATGTCAGCTGCTACTTAAACAGCATATATCATATAACATAATATAACATATATCCCATATGCATGCAGGCTTGCTGTACCCTCTCTCTTTTACGTTTATCTCTTTTTAACGTGTGTATAATTGGCATTGAAGATTGCTTATAAAATTATATAGGTCGGTCATTGTGGCTAAGTTCCGTTTCATATTACCAACACATACCTACTCTAAAAAGCTACTAAACCTAAGCTATTAACTAAAAGCTAGCTATGCGCTGTAGTTACCAGCTAGACTACTTCTAGAGACTAAACTGTATTGTATACAATACACATACAGTTGCATCAGTAAGCTCTACTATCTATTCTAACTAACTAAAAAAACTACTCTTCTCGCTTACCAAGTGTGCAAGCCAAGACATCAAGAGTCACTTTAAGAAAATATTTCTTCAACAATTTAGCAGCCATATTTGTTTAATTTAATTTTTTAAACAAACACAAAATAAAAAAATGATCTCCGAGTTGCGAGCATCAGCTCCCTCAAATCAGATCAAGCAGGTGTACACTTGCACACCTCACTAATTTTTAAATTCAGTGAACACATTCATGAATTGTTAGGAACATCAAGCAAGAAATTATGGAAAAACAATGTTAAAGTGATAGTTTATTTGATAAGATCAAATACATAAAATAACGAATAGTCATATATATAAATGATAATTTATATATATATATATAATATATATTTTATATATATGATTACAATTAAAACATATCGGCAAACATTGTTTCCTGCCTTATGCAGTTAATTAGCTGTAAAGACGATAACTTAATATTTAAAAGTTAAAAAACTTTTGGGTTAAAGATAGATTAGTTTTTTAACTTTTAAGCATTAAATTAATTTTTGTTACTTAGATAGAATCATGGAATTATAATATATATATATATATTATATAGTGTCAGAATTATGAAATAATACTGACTAAAAATACTTCAAAGTTCAACTCAAAATTAATTCACTCGATAGGCGGCTTGATGCAAAGTTATTCACTCGATAGGGGAACTGATTCAAGTTAATTTACTCGATAGGTGACTAGACGATTTTTGTTTGTTTTGCAATTTAGATGACGTCATAAATTATTACAAATTATTTTAAAATTA